TGGATGTAATTTTTTAAAGTTTGGGTCTTCAAATATTTTCTTCCCCAGGTATCTGGGAGTGAGGCTAATGGAGTTTGTTTCATAGTCAAACCTATGAATAGTGGTCAAGCCATCAAGATCCTGTGAGGACTGTGACAATACAGCCTTCTCTGCACTCTTGAGAAATAAGATCTAATTCTGACTGATAACTAGCAAGACTGAGTTTATCAAGTAATGTCTTCTTGAGCAAACAGACAAGTACTTTAATCAAAATAACATATACTTTCTAAGAAAGACACAGACAATCTTTACAAGCCAGGAAGGGGATTGGATTCAAAACACAAGTTGTGGAACAAGCTGAACAATTCTAGTAATTCAGGGAGCATAAGTTCCTGAAACTCTAGCAGAGAATATGAGTCCCTTTCTCCTCCTCCCTCCCACTCCCGGAAAAATCTTGCTGTCATCACAGAAGTAAACAGCCCATCCTTAGTCTGCAGTCTTGTCTGCAAAACAGTGGGTGCATCTACAGGAGACGCTTTACAGAGCATTAGACTAATGTGCAGTAAAGAATCACCATTACATGTGCGCAGCAATTACTGCGCAGTAGATTAGTCTAATGCGCCATCTCCTAGTACCTGTAGATACAGGTACTAGAAATCAGCACATTAAACTCATACGCCAAAGCACATGTATAGACACTGACCAGGAGCAAATAGCTCCTGTTCAGCCTAGGCAGCAGGGGGCCACAGGGGGCAGGGAGAGCTGTCCCGGCTTGGCAGGACACTGCCTCCCTGTCATGTGTAGATATGCCCAGTAAGCATGAGTGTACCTTTTTTCTGCTGATTCTCCACTAAAAATAATAATCTTCGTGAACCATGGCCAAGATGCTGGTCTCCTTAACCCAACCTCCTAAGGGTTTTAACATCAAATTAATAGAAAATAAATAACTTTTTTTAACAGTCTCTCTACAAAATTGGCATCATCTTGTTCACTCCCTTCCTAACTGCCACAGGAACTGAGGACTTAAGAGTCCCCACAACTGCACTTCACCCATGGCTTTCCCTATGTTTCCAAATAGCACTGCTGTTCCACATGCTCAGTCACTTGATAATGGCCAAAGAAGCACATTACTATAACTGTTTCATACGAAGTAACACTATGGTTGACTGCCAAAGGCATCTTAAAAAGATAAAAATAAACACAAAATACACATTCTTAATATACCTAATATTCACTAATTTCATATTAAAGGGCCATACACCCTACAGTGCCTCACCATCTCTTCCCTGTTTCTACAGTGATTGTGTATAATAAAGAGATTAGTCTAGACTCTTAACAGGCATGTTTCCTTACTGGTCCTTTTTCCCTCAGTCATAATTTTATGCTCAAACTTACCTATTGAAAGTGACAGAGATATAAGCATCTCAAAGTTATATTCTCAACAAATATCTGTTCAGTAAAGAGGACTAAGTTTTCACCTTTACAACTGGATTCAAAGCTAACCAGATATTTAAAGGATTAATAAGATTCTTGATGGGCAATTTGATTGAGCTTTCTAACACTGATAGAAAAGACTGTGCTTGATTTGTGGAGCAGGGTGGTTGCCTTTTTTTCTGTTTAGTCTGACATCCACAACAGAAACAGGTAGTAAAGACTAGTTTGGTACTTCTTGCAAAGTATTTGTGATTCATGCTAAATCAGGACAATATAGACTGAACCCAAGAATCAAGTCTCATTCTTCCTCCTGACAATGCTATTAATTACTGAACTATACCATGGAGGTTTTAGATATGATGGACTCAAAGGAAAGCACATTTAAAACTGCCACAGATGTCTTACAGCCACAGCAATTAATGTGCTCTGATTTTAAATAAGTTTCTTTTGCTTCCCTTAAAAATAGCAAAATAGGTAACGATCATGAAGCAGTCTGAAACATGTAGCATATTCAAATATTTTCAATGTCATCTATATCAACATATAGATATATGCTCCTCGTCTGCACTTATATTAGTGATTTTGCTGCTAAGACATCTTGCACAGTCTGGCTCAGGGAAGAGGAATTTTGAACCTTCCACAGTTTCACTTGTTTTTGCAGTCAGATTTCTTAAAACTGCAACAGATTCTGCAGGTCATTTTAACTATATCTGCAATATGTATTATATATATAGGTTTATTCCTGAAATAAAACCATGCATCATTCATTTAAGTTTATTAAATATATCATTTTACACAGTCCAGGTCATCAACAGCATATTTACATTTACTTACCATAATTTTGTAACAGCACTTCCTCTGTATATTTGCTGTATATTTGCTATTGTTTGTACTTTGGATTCCATGTGGTAAGTTTCCTTAAAGTAAAGCCAGGATTTTGCAAACACTTAGTACCACTATGGTACCAAGCAGTACCATAAATCAGTGAGTTTACACCCCTACAGAAGAATGAGCGTTTATGCTAAAGTGGCAGCCTAAATCAGGGGTTGGCAACCTTTTGCCAGTACCAGCAGCTGCTTGTGACCCTGTCCTCGCATTTCCCCAGTGATCAGCAGGCACTAAGAAGAGACCAGAGAGAAAAAGGCAGGCAGGCCCTAGGAGTCTGGGGACACCTCCTCTGCTTCTGTGGCTGGAACTGCTACTGATTTACCAAACAGGATTCCAGTCTCTTTGCAGGCTGGACTGAGCAGACAGGCTGTAAATTGACAACCCCTGGCCTAAAATTAATCAATTATTCTTGATATTTCTATACCACCCAAAAGGTTCCAAATGATATTAGACCCCATAGTGCTATAGGAACACAAACAAGACAATTAAGTCTCTCTTTAAATAGACAGGAGAAAGATCCAAGGGAAGAGACCTGGGCTGAGATTAATGACAGAGCCAAGGATAAAAACCAGGGTAAAAAAGGGCAGGTGGTGTAAGCAGTTACAGCTCCACTGAAGCCATACCAACTGCAGCTCTTGGTCAAGCTTTCCAACTCATGCTATAATACCCTGTTTACTAGGTTGCTGTGTCTCATTATTCTATTATGACTTTTATACACAACGAAAAGGACACAGCTGGAAGCTAGGGCATTTAGACATCATCATGTCTTTCTCGAGGATTTGCAGAAACCCAGTACCCAAAGATACCTGAAAAAGTCTGAAGACAACACCCCCCCGCCCCCCGGGGGGGAAAAAAACCCTTCAAAATTACATCTCTCCTTACCTTCATTCCAACCACCCATTACACCTAAAATTGTAGGCATAGAGGTATACAATTCATCTGCTTTTAAATCCGTTAACTCAGGGGAAGTTCTTGAAAGTTCTTGTTCTACCTGAGCCACAGACCACCTCTTGGGTATCACCTCTGATTCTCGCTCACACTGATAGTCAGGACTAGCCTCCTCGTTTTCTATGTTGAGGTAAATTTCCTTTCTGTGTTGAGAAATGTGGTTAGACTCCAACGCCCTGTAACTTCCACTGCTCTGCTCAGGTTTGTTTGATTTGTACTGCACAAATCCCTCGTTCAGTCGTAGATGCTTTCTGCGCCTTTTCATTGAGCTGAGCTTTTGAATTCTTTTGGTTAGTGGTCCTTCTGGCTGTTGGATATTCATTTGTGGAGAAGGGCAACTGTTGTAATTACTCCAGGAATTTTCATTATCCATTCCTGCCTTTTCATCTGGGAAGATGTGGGAACGTCGGGGGTTGCTTTTGGCTTTCCGTCGCGACCGATAAAATGACGGACGGTCAGATCCACTATTAAGGCTTTTGGCTGAGAGGGTGAAATAATGATCCTTCTCTTTTTCATTAATGTCCAGTGAGGATTTAATGAATGTTTTACACACATTAAGAATATCTGTCATCTGCAGATAGCTCGCTGCGGACATGACTTCAATCACATTTTGACCAGTGAGAGACAGTTTGCCTGAATACACAAAGTCCAGAATAACCACAAATGTCTCAGGAGAAAAAACTTCGAAAGAAGCAGTTGTTGGCTGACCAGTGTCCTTCGAGCTTTGGGAAAGGAGCATTTTGAAATAACCACTACTTGCAAACAGCACATTTCGATGAGCTTTGAAAACCTGCCCCTCAACCAGGATGTTGCAGTCACAGAACAGGTCTTGCTTGCGCTGCTCATTGAGTTGCTCCAGGAGATGAGACTGATGGGATGAAATCTCCATCCCAAAGAGAGAAATGGGAAGCACAGTTCTAAAACAGAGAACAGCAATCTTGACTTGGACAGTGCATTGGGAATGGCATCCTGGGTTTACCCATTTCACAAACCCAGTTCTTTTTCTCTTAAAAATAAAAGGACAGCCAGGGGGTAGTACTGTCACCATATGCGTTTCAGAAGAGGGAAAACAAAGGCACAGGACAGTAAGGAAAAGAGGGCAGAATTGTCATAGGGCTATGAAGGGTCTCAATGCAGCGAAAGGATCAGGGAAGATGTTCACCACCCGTCACATCTGTCTCGTAGCGGCAGCAACCGAAGTGACTGGGAGCCCGCTTCGGAGCGTGCGGCCGGGCCCGGCGTCCGGCCACCGCCTCCTTGCCCCGAGCCAGCGGCAGGGCCCCAAGCGGCAGCGGGGCCGGCCCCTCCCGGCGCCATTGGC